AGGTTAATTCAGCACTGCCCTCCTCAGACCTGGAAGTACAGTTGCGTCGTGGAGAACGCCACTCAGAGGCGTAGTTGCGTGGAGATGCAGCCGGTATGGGTGTGGATTCGGCAGATGGACGGATATTCCATTTTTTGAGGAGGGACAATCCCTGGTCCGAAGACACTACGGTGAAAGTTTCACCGTCTCTGGTTATAAGAAACTTGGCCGGGTATCCCCACTTGTAGCAGATATGGTGGATCCTCAAAGCCTTGGTGACAGGGAGAAGGCGCCTCCTGAATAGCATGCCATGCTGAGACAAGTCCGCAAAAAAATGTAGGTGGGCATATTGTTTAGGGATATGGGTAGCGTCCCAGACGACTTGGAACAGCTTATCTTTCACATTAAAGAAGTGCATTTGCATTAAGACATTGTGGGGTACCTTTTCCAGTAGAAATGAAGGCTTAGGAAGATGGTGAATTCGATCACGTACCTTGATATTGTTGTGGCGTGATCTGTCCTCAAGGTCCGCCACTTTGGCTTCCACCCAATCCAGATAATCTTCTCTAGCATTGTGTGAATCCACCAGATCATTGAAAATGCCAACAAATTCACCCATTTTGTCTTCCATGTATGATACTCGGTCTCCCAGTTGATGTAGATCGGATTTAAATCGGGAAATAAAAGATTACATATCATTATTCAAAGAGCTTCTTAGTGAAATTAACATGTCCCTGAGTACATATCATTATTCAGAGAGCTTCTTAGTGAAATTAACATGTCCCTGAGAGTAGAGTCTGATATACGTTGGTGTGAGATGGGAAAAGCTTCCAAGGGTTCTATCAATTCCCTAGTGTCCTCTAGGGATGAATTAATCCGGCTCACCTCAGTTTGGGCCTCCACTCCTGCAGTAAGCGTCGGCCTGAATTTCACAGGGCTCCGGTCCTCAGTCGGCGTACCACAGGGTGAGGACGCTGTGGAGCTAGTCCCCGACTGCTGGGATAGGGAGGGGTGAGACGTCTCAGCAGCAGCAGCGGAGGGGGCCTTGGGAGCCGACTGACAGGGCGATCCGCCGCCATCTTGACCTCGTTTGCGGGACAGCACGGCGAAGAAGTCCGTCATTTTATGCGGGCAGGAGCCGGACTTCTTCTTTCTGGACATCTCCACCGGGTGCAGCAGGGTCGTAGGAGCCTGGGAGTGTCCGAAGATAAGCTAAATGTTGTGTCGGTAAGCCTCAGGGCGCAATGCTGCACGGGGCTCTCCTAGCTTACGTCCATGAAGCGCCGGCCACACCCCCCATATTTTATATTAATTAAAAAATGGGTATTTTATTATGTTTGGGGGCATTTAAGTGCATTTATCATTAAATGTTGGGGTTTGCTAAGGAGTTGCGCTAATATCGTGCATATCGGACACTGGGTGGGATTAAGGTAATATGGGCTTCCTAGGACTGCTTGGGGAAGGAGCAGGTGTCAGAGATGGAATTGTAGGTGATATTCAAGATAGGAGCTAGACTGTCTTTAAACTTCTTATAAAAGGAGGGTGAGTACCCATCCAGGCCAGTGCTTTAGCTGGAGGGCAGGAAGCCAATCATGTGCACAATTTAATGTGTTATAAATGAAGCCTGTAGAGCAGGGGTGCCCATAAGGTTGATCGCGATCTACCAGTGATCGTGTAGCGATCACTGGTAAATCGCAATGTCCTGTCTTCTCTGGACCCCCGCTGCTCTCCCCCATCTGTATGCAGCGGGGATCTGAGGAAAAGTGAAGCTGCAGGCGACGGCGGGGGGTGGAGGACGGAGGTGCTATCACAGCAGCACGTTGAGCGGTGAGGAGAGAGAGAGCCGCTCGGCCTGGATCTAACAGCTGGCGGCTCTCTCCTCACCGCACATGCTGCGGCTCTCTCTCCTCACCGCACATGCTGCTGTTACAGTGGCTGCGACCCCCGTACCAGCGTGCCTGAAGTGCTTATTTCACTTCTCCTAGCCGAGCAGCAGAGGATCGGTACATATCAATTATGCAGGACACACACTGGAGCGATCAGCTGATCACTCCAGTGTTTATAAATAACTGGGGGCACATAGTACTATGTTATGAATGAACAGGATATGATTTACATCACTTCCTGTTCATTCATGAGTTTCTCAATAGGGAGAAGCACTCTGTACAGAGGCTCCTCCCCATTCAGCAACTGGTGATAGTAAATATTTTCTGAATGAATGGGAAGCCTCTGTGCTTTCCATTCATTTAGAACAGAGGCTGCAGAAAAAGAGATTGATGACGTTGTGTCCTCAATTTCTTTTTTCTATTTTAAAACGGAAATATCAGGGGGCTGTTTAGACCCGTAATATTTCCCTGAAGCCCCCCCCCCCCTCCCCCAACAGTAAAAAAAAATATATTAAAATTAAATTAAATAAGAAATAATGGGTGCAGGGCGCTGAGTGACGTCACAAGCCTGTTGGGGCACTTTTTTCTTGCCACATGTGCAAAAGGAGCTGGCTACGGCTATGCTCCGCTGTGCTCGTGCGGCTGAATGTGTCAGACGGAAAAGGGCGGGACACCTCTCCCCGTGTGCAACGTCGGCCACACGAGCACCACGGGAAGATAGGACACTGGTGCCTCTAGAACGCACTGGAATGCAAGCCGGCCAACTCCCAGCGTTCAGGGGTGGGAGGGGGGCTGCACCACCCACAGTTTGATCGCCCGCACCCGGAACGCAGGCACATTAGTGCATGCATTCCGGTCCAGTGTGATCTGCAAAAATAGTGCTTGCAGCATTTTTGCGGATCGCACTGGACCGGAACACAGGCACTAATGTGCCTGGGTTCCGGGCGCAGGTGATTGCACTGTGGGCGAGGAGCCTGGCTGCTGTGCCATTGACTTGAATGCACCGTCACGCCCCATCCCGCCCCTGAACACAGGTGTTTTTTCGTTGGTAGATCTCATTGAGCTCGTCATTTGAAAAGTAGATCTTCAGACGAAAAATTGTGGGTGCCCCTGCTGTAGGGGACTGAGTAAAGTCTGCCCTAAGGATTACAGGCTGATAGAGCTTCACATGCTGAGGGAGAAAAATGGTCGGTGACATCCCTCTGCATGTTATAGAGATCCGAGTAGTATTGGTTCAGAACTGTGCATCATTCCCCAACTAGGACATAGCATCTTAGGGATGTAGGTGCAGGATTGCTTGATGAAAGTTGATCATGGCAGGCCCTTACTGCACATAGTAGCGTATTTGTAAAGTGTTCATGTTGCACAATCCTTGTGTCAGTGACATAAGCGGCCACTAGGTTTGTGTAACTCTGCTCTCTTAATCTGTAAGAACTGAAAAACTTGAGGATCATGATGTCTTTTATGGCATGTAAAAAATAAACAAAATAAAAAACTGTGTGCCAATAATAGTCAGCAGCAACCAATAGTGGTCTTAGACACACCACTAATTTTACAACTAAAAACTTAAAACATATAAGTGCCACTCTCTCCTTAAATGGCGTGCTAATTATATGTGATCAGTAAAAATTTTAATATGACAATGTATCAACTTTATAGTTAAGGCATGCGTAGTGTGCCAATACACACATTTAAAGTTTATGTTCAGCAAACTATGCACAAGTGAATATAAACTACACTTAAACAATTGGCTCCAAATAAGCAGTGAGAAATCAATAAATAATAAACAATTAGATTCCCAATTACAGTGTAAAATGAAAAAACAAAGTCCATAAGAGTTCATATAAGTGAAACTATCCAAATGATTATTTGATTCATACACATGTGATTCAGTCTTTGCTCCTCCCTGGTCTTATTACCGCTAGAAATTTGTTTCGGACGAACCTACGAATTCAAAAGTGCACATTAAGTCAAAAAGATTGTATGGTGGCCATATTGGCCACTGACACGTTCTGTGCATGCACACCAACATCTTGACGGCTGGACATATGACGTCACATGGCATCAGCATCGGGTGACATCATACACATGTATGAGGACCACCATCTTGGACGCAGCAAGATGGCAGTGCTCAAACAAAATGAAATATGATATGCCCAAATATAGTTTTTCATATATTCAGGCATATAATAATTTGTTCTTTTGGATTTGGATGAATGGCCAAATTAATAGAATTTCATGAGTCAGCAAGTGCGTCCAAATCTGAATGCACATCTCTAATTACCACCACATGAACACTCAGGGAAATGCTGCTCACCTTGGATGTTAGACCATCACAAAAGGTCTAATCAGCTTGTTTCCCCTTATGCTATGTTAGCTATGTTATGCTATCTACCCTCATACAAATCCACCTATGGAAGTTCTTGTATGTAATATTATAAAAAAAAAAAAAGGTACAGACCACAGTGCTCTCTGTAATAATTAAAATCAAGTTTTTATTTCAAACTACTCACATAAAAACACAGGCTATTCAAATTATTCACAAAGTAAGATGGTAATGCAGGCAGAAACACTACCAGATTAGCTACAATGAATATGCTAAGCTCCGATCTCACCTCTCCCACACTACGTCACAAGCTCCACCCTATGTGTGTTACATCCAAAATTACTTTATCAGGGTGAAGGGGTTGAAGTAATTCCAGGCGTAACACACATAGGGTGGAGCTTGTAACATAGTGTGGGAGAGGTGAGACCAGAGCTCACCTTCACCATCTATTTTTGACTGTTCATACATGTTCTAATTATTGGGCATTTCATTGTTACTTTCAATAATAATAACACAGTTCAGATTTTCTAAGTAATAGATGTCCACTTAGAAGCAGAATGACCAAGATTGTCAAAGCGGCTGAATGATGGGTGCATCTATGCATTTATGCAGTCTTTGATGCCTATTTCTGTTGTACATTGCACAAGCTGTACAGATCTGGACTATCCCATTCTGTGGCACAGACTGTTAAAGACCAGGTCTTCTTTGTTTTTGGTAGTCTAACTATCACAGATTTGGACTGAATATTTTGTGATACTAACACTAGAGACAACTTCGGATATCTAATTAAAGTTTGTTTTCTTTTTCAGATTGTGCTTCTGAAATATTTGAAGATGAAAAAGCTTTATCTAATTGGCATGTAGGTTTGAAGATAGCCTGGGATATTGAAACTCCAGGTCTTGCTTTACCTTTAAATCCTGGTGATAGTTACTTCATGCTAGGTAAATGTAATACACTTATAATTTTTACATTCCTGTCTTTCTTGCAAACCCCTTTTGTGTATATATATATATATATTATATTATAAAAATCGCCTTTACACTATCATATTTAAGGCTGGATTCACACCAGCGGCTGCACTAACATACACAGCCACTGATGTGCATATGAATTCACAGTGCCAATCCCAGTGCATCACACTGTTTTGCTTTTTTTGTCAGCACTTTATTGACATGTCATTATTGACATTCCATTAAGTTATATGGCCAGTTGTACCGTGTGACATCCTGCTGTACTGCACACAGTTCATTTTTCAGCACACACCACTGCAAATTGAAAAAAATAAAAATAGCCAGCACAACCCCAACACATTTGGTGTGAATCCAGCCTTAGTGCTAAAATAAGATCTTTGAGACACTTTCAGACATCTTTAGTGCCAACTCAATACAAGGCTGTTAGTCTGTTAAAAACAGGCAAAACAATACCCAAATTGTTTTGAGGGCAATTTTCAAGGTATCCTAAACAGGTCTGCATTGTTACAACCGCTATTCATATGCTGCACTAGGTGAATGAATAAAGTTTAAAAAAAATAGCTTGGTATCTTTTGGCAACTCACACTTTGTTTAGACAGGTCATTTTGGGTCATATACTCATAGGGTATTTGCATAATAAATGTTAATTTTAAAAAAGTGAAATGCTTTTATACAGAGCAAGTCTAGCAGAAGTAATTTTTAAAGGAAAAAAATAGTTATGCTTATGCAAATGGTGGTTAATTTTAGTATGAACTCTAGAGTTAATTCCTGGGATAGTATGCTTGTTCAAATCTGTTTGCAAATATCAAAGTCAAAATTGACATCTCCTGATTATTTAAAGATACAACCTAATAAAATTACTATATACATACAGTGTTGTTACTGTACAAAGCTTCATTAAACTTTTATTTTTTACTTGACCATATCAGTAGAAAAATTAATTTCCTTTGAATAAATATTGTAGTGATTTGTTGACCATGAATTTCAGGTTGTGGAGTATCCCCATGGTAGTTATGAACCTTTATTGGTACCAGTGCAGCATTTTTTCTTAGTTTTCTTTCATGTATTCCTATTTTGATTTATCAAACTCCCTAATAACCTCCTGATCTATTCTGAGTGAGAGCAAAGGGCCTATAAACCCACTCTAGAGTCATAAATTGCTTCCTTACATTGATATTCTATAGGCACCCTTAAGTATTAGCCTGCTGAACACAGCCCTCATATTGTGATGATTTTATGATGCTGATGTTCATCTTAACCTCTCGTACCCAGTATTAACTCTTTGTTAAATAAGGACATTCCATTGTGATCTTCCTGCACTTCTATAATGAAAACAGCAGTTTATTCCTTTAATAATGCTATTCTTTTGTTATTCTTTGCTATTCTTTTGTTTTAAGTATACCCTCCCTTTGGTAAAATGAATGCACACACATTAATGCTGGCAACCATTTTATAAACATCTATCAGTTATTCATTCACTGAATCCCATTGTTTTAGAAAAATTAACTAGATTTCAATGGTCATGTATCAATTTGTGAGGTTAAAGTTTGTTTGCATGTAAGTGTTACATTTCTAGTCTTAATTCCATAAAATAATGCATATATTATTTGTAAGCAGTAGCCCGTGGCAGTTTACTACAGATCAGCTACAAGGCACCTCAAGCTTTGCTTTTTGCAATGTTTTTTCTTCACTATTTCCCTCTGTATATGTTACTGTTTTAGTAGAATTTTCCACTTTACCATTCCTTTCCACACATTTTTAACGTCAAATCATGTTTTATTTTTCTATTATACATTTTTATTTTAGTACTGGAGTACATGTATGTATTAACTTTCATTGAATAAATTAGAACTATAATCTAGTTGCTGTGGGAGTCCTTGTCATTTGCATTCTGGAGCAGACTGAGCAAGGGACGGAAGGATATCTAACTGACATAGTGGTCACAGAATCTGCTTTTAGTGGTTAGTACTATGCTTAGAGTCATGACTTGTTACAAGAAGTTTTCTGAGTGTGGCAAAATTGAAGGTCATGTAGCCGTCTGCAGTGCAGTGAATGCCTTGGAACATGTCAGCATTTGTAATAGATAAGGCAGCAGGCAAAAAAGCCACTTCACTATATTTCAAGTATCTGCTGCCTATAGGATGATTTAGACCTTTTTTTTTCAGGTCCAGAGCTGTAGCATTGCCTCAGCAATGGCCCTGTCACCGGAGACACAATCTGTTGAACAGGTTGTTTGGGCTGAACACCAAAGGGTACTTTGTTTTTTGCATAGTTGGATGTCTTTTTAATTTCCTAACACTGCCCGTTTTACTGCCCGACTGGGTTCACATGTTAGCTTACGAGGACCTCAGATGGTATTGTGTCGGCTGGTTGAAATGCAGTTCACCGTTTCATAGAGTAGGAGCAGTCAAGTAAATCAGGACACTTGTATGGCAGATAAGTGATACTAGCAACCATAGGACACACAGCACATGGGGAGACACCGGACAACAAAACGACATATAAGGAACACAGGGAAAGAGGAAAAAAGAGGGATAGGAATAGGGTTCCGGACCAGAATGTGGAATTGTTCAAGAAACTTTTGGACGATTTCTTAAGGGACCGTAATATACAGGGGTACAGGTACTCCTAGAATGAGATCCTAATAGGTTGGACTTGATGGACTAATGTCTTTATTCAACCTCAAATACTATGTAACTATGTAACACTAGTTGGAGGAAGCACTCAATGGTAAGGTTACAACTATAGCATCACATGTGGCAAAGGTGACAGGAGACAGGTGAGTCAAAGAATTTGTCGATCCACGGGGACCAGATAATTTGTGCATATTGTTCTCTTGTGCTGTTCGTTTCTCTTGGGCCATGATCCAATGAATATGTGTGATAACGTGCGAGATATGAAGAGACTTTGTGAGACAATTTAGTGCAATATCTCTCTGTGCAGATGAGAGGATGTGGAGGGAGAGCCTAAAGGTCTTGTTGGGAAGATTTTCTGGTTTACAATTGATTAGGGCAAAAACTGGATCCTTAGTCATCGTCTCGGAGACCAGCGAGTTCATGAGGGCGAACATTTCATCCCAGAAGCCCGAGACTATTGGACATCTCCACCAGATGTGGATAAACGTACTCGAATCAGGGCATCCTTGGAAACAGTTTGGTGAGCAGTGGGAGTTGTAAGTGGCCACTCTGGCTGGCACCAAGTACCAACGCATGAGGACCTTGTAGTTTATCTCTAACATTCTTGAACACCGCAAGTTGGATTTAGTGTTCTGCCAAGACTGGTGCCAGGAATCCTCATCCATGACATCTCCAAGGTCAATGTTCCATTTAGACACGTAGGATGGGGGAGGGTCATCCGGTAGAGACAGCAAAGAAGTGTATAGGAGGGAGATAAGCCCTGGGCCATGGGGGTTGTCCCGACAGACTCGTTCGAATGGCGAGGGTGTGGTGGTTCTGTCCTGATTGTTGATGTGTCCTGTAGTAAAGTGTTTGATCTGGAGGTAGCAAAGTATTTCCTTGTTGGGTAACAGGTAGTGCTCCTGCAAGTACGGGAACAATTTAATTCCTGAGGTGGATTACAGCTGCCAAAAAGAGGTGAGATTGCGTGAAGACCATTCAATGAAGCTAGAGGGGCTGTGGTTGCCGGGTGGAAGGAGGGGTTGCTCAGTATGGACATGAGGGGTTTATGTGGGGATATTAGTCCATATGTCTTTTTCACCGAGTCCCAGAGTTTTCGGGAATGGGAAGTGATAGGATTAGAGATAAGGGGCCGATGTCTGGGGGGAAGCCAAATAAGGTTGGCAACTGTCGTTGGATGTGTCAACGCATTTTCTAGAGCCACCCAAGCCGGGGACTCATAGTTTGCGTGACATTTAGAGAATTGGCCTATTTGTGCTGCTTGGTAGTATTTGGTTAAGTTCGGGACTGCCAGTCCTCCCTGGGATTTTGGAAGGTAGAGCGTATGATGGGGAATTCTGGGTCGCCGATCTCCCCATATAAAGGCGAAAATGCGTGACTGTAGTCTATGCAGTATAGGGTCCGGGACACACACTGGTAGGACTCTAAATAGGTAGAGGATTTTTGGCAGGAGGGTCATCTTGACGGCCGCAATCCTACCCAACCAGGAAAGGCGATAATTAGCCCAGTTTCTTAACAATTGCAATAGTTTAGCCACCATTTCTGGGTAATTTGCTTTATACAATGAGTGGTAGGATGGGGTTAGTTTGATTCCCAGATATGGAAGGTAGGAGGGGCACCAGGTATAGTTATAGGTTTGTTGCAAGGACATCACTTGATTGGGGGTAGGGATATGTTTAGGACTAAAGATTTGGCATCGTTGGTGTGTAGTCCCGAAATAGAGGAGAAGTCTGTGATAAGTTTTGTAAGGTTGGGTAGAGATACTAGGGGGTTAGTTATAAAGAATAAAGTGTCGTCCGCAAACATACAAATTTTATGTGACACACCCTCGTGAGGGATTCCAGAAATGTTTGGGGAGATGCAGAATTTCTGAGCAAAAGGTTCCAGGATCAAGGCAAATAATAGAGGCGATAATGGACAACCTTGTCTTGTGCCCCTCGGCACCTGAATTGGTTGGGATCGATATCCTGAATACTTTATGTGGGCTATAGGGTTGTTTTATATAGGGATGATATCCAGTTGCGAAAGTGTGGGCCGAAACCCCACTGTCGCAACGTGTAAAATAGGTATGGTCAGGAGACTGAATCGAATGCTTTCCTAATGTCTAAGGAGAGAAGCATAGAGGGGATCTGTTTGGATTTTGCTATATGGGTGAGAAGAGTGACTCTGCGGATGTTATCGCTAGCCTGCCTGGTGGGGATAAAACCTACCTGTTCATTACTGACCAATAGACCTACCACTTGATTCATTCTGTTGGGCAGTAGTTTAACATCAACGTTAATGAGGGAAATCGGCCTGAAGTTCGAGGGGTTAGAATGGTCAGAATCAGGTTTG